ATGCGAGGCTCTCAAACTTGTTTAATAAAATGGTGCGTCAAATGACGATTTTAACGGAATTTGGTAATTTGCATATTTCTTTGAAATAAAAGCATATTTGGCCAAAAAAACTATTCAGTACTTTTTGTCATGCCCTAGCCTATCTACCGTAAAAATATGAGCGAAATCGAATTTTCGACCCTTGCCGAGTAATTTTCCATATTTATGGACATGGACTCTTAATTGTGGCTTCCACAAACCAGCGCGAAGAGAACAGTGGCCTCGTATGAAAGTGTATTTTGAAGGATTATATGATTCTAAGTATTTTGAAGCATTATATACGTGTAACAGGAAATAGTCACTACTGCGTCACACTGCAAGATTAGTGAAGTTATGAAAAATGAAAAGCAGCTTTGTCGCAACCTTTTGCTTCAAATTGCCACACTGCCAATGGTTTAAGCACTAACTTTTGCTAAACGTACCCTGCTTGAAAAAGAGTGTCCCCAATTAGTTTTTTTTTAAAGCTTAATACCCTTTGACACTCAAATAAAGTCCTTCATTCATTCGTTCATTCATTCATTCATTCATTCATTCATTCATTCATTCATTCGTTCGTTCATTCGTTCGTTCGTTCGTTCGTTCGTTCATTGATTCATTCGTTCGTTCGTTCACTCGTTCGTTCATTCATTCGTTCGTTCCTTCGTTCATTTATTCGTTCATTCATCGAGAGCCGAATGTAGTACACTATAAAGGAATTACGTTGTTGTGTTTGTATACCGCGTACAATCGACAACGAACTGAGTGTTACTGAAGAGGCAGAGGGCCGACTTCAGACACAACTTAAAGCGAGATTCAATTAGTCCTGACTAGCAAATTTATTTGACTTTCCATAGGAGGAAGGTAAATTCCTAAAGATAAACATAAGACGAATTAATACAAATTACTAACCGAAGACGGCAGAAAACTAAGAGGAAAATACAAAACAGARGATAAACTYAACGGCTTACCAAAATGCTGGCAACGGGGTTCTGAGAACCAAGAAGTTAGAAGTGTACCGGACGATAAACTAGCACTAAATGAACATGAAGGGATAACACAAATATATACGCAACGAAATTTACATACGACGCGAGAAAAAAAAGCATGCAGAATGTGAAAAAATACATTAACATAAGGAACAAAAAAGGACACAAAGAAAACACGAAATATGGAAAACACGAAATATAGACAACACGAAATAGCCGCAACAGTTACTGTCTTGTAAATCTTATTAAAAAAACTACGGACTTTTACGTTCAAAAGAAGTTACTTAATAAGACTTGCAGCCGAAACATATGTTCTCTTTTCTCAGTTATTGGGATGTTTGATATTCATGATCATGTGAGGTTGATGTTAATTTTACACAAAATCCCAGATTTATCACTCAATTAGACGGCCCCCATACCTGAACCTTCCTTTTCATCTCACTTCTGTCGCACAACACAAATCATGTAAATCGTTTTAATTGAGGAAAAATTGATATTGGCTGTTTATGGCATGAAATTAAAATATACCCCTGGAAAAAAAGAGGAAACACATTCGGGTGCGTTGTTTCCTTAATTGTCAGACCTCATGTTTGTCGGCGTATTCATTTGGGGAAGATAAGTGCCCACAATCAATTTAAAAAAGCAAATGATTGGCTTAAACTACAGTACACATGTTGACGGGAAGCGCTACCTATCAAACAAATTAAGTTATTCAACTTTTAAGACAAATTTTCCATCTTCATTGAAAGAACCTCAGTCTAATTAATATCTAGATATAAATATTCGGTATCTGATTTAGAAGGAAGCCACGACAAAACGCGATTTCTCAAAAAAAAAAAACAAAAAAACAAAAAACAAAAACAAAAACAAACAAACAAACAAACAAAAAAAACAGAAAGAAGGATACGAGGAATTTGCATCAAGTCCCGCTTTAAAAATAAATAAAAAACCATCTGTTATCAGAGGTGTCGTTCAATGCGGGCTGGGTACTATCGAAAAACGAAAGCTTTCATTTAGGAATCGACTAGTGTGTCGCAACCTCTGAACTCTGAAACTCTGAAAGCCTCAGTCTGTTGTTACCTCCACGAAAACGTTTTCAGCTGATGAGTTCAATTTAAAGCTGCGTGGCTTTCTCTGTCATATAGCATACCAGATACTTTGTTTAATGTGGGTTGGCTGCTGTCGAAATATAAAACGAGAGGATCTATTTGAGATGAAGCCGCAGACGTATCTTCGAATCAATCTTAAAAAAAGCACGCGCTTTTAATCATTTCAACGTCTTTCTGTATAATTAATCATGAAAACACTGCAACACAGAAACCATATCGATCGCACGAGATAAAACCGCTTTTAAATGTGTTCGAAAAATAAATGTAAATTGTTTTTATCATGGAAAAAAATCATTATCGCCAGATGTTAACCGAACCAGCAACTAGCAAATTAAAATAAAACACTTTTCTCGCTTCAATATCTTTTTTCGAACTACGTGACCGTTTGCTACTCTTTCTTTACTCTTAATATTCAAAGATACGACTTACATATATTCTACAGGATCACTTAAGTTAAGCGATGTTTTACGGACCCTGAATAGGTGAATTGTTCCACTAAAATGCACTTGAAATCTCTTATTAATCTCTTAAAATCAATGTCATTGGATCAAGCAGACAAGAAAAGCCGATTCTTCGGTGAAACTATACTTTAGAAGTGCTCTTGAATCAAGACACGCTGAAATAGTTCTCTCTAACAACTGGCCGTCTTCTCTCCAGCAATCAAATCGTACAGTACTCCTGCATCGAGGTTCAAAGTTTGTTGGAGATCGAAAGACTCAGTTTGACTTGATATTGGCAAAGAGGTGTTGATGATAAGCTGTTGCTGTATCCTTTAGAAAGTGTATGTGAATTCAGCCAGTCTGCAATATTTGATGTTCGGTTTTAAAGTTTGGTTGAATGCGGCGTACTTTGACTGCTTCGGAGACTGTGAATCGATGTCATTTTTGTTTCCTTTAGCTGGTTATCTTTCAAGTCGAATTTCATGCGACTAAAACGACCAAAGAATAGCACATGTTTAAGACTGTTACGATAGTTTCGGTTAAAAACAAAACAAATACATGGGTTTATAGCGCTCCAGGAATGCATCATAAAGGTGGCACTGAATGGGATCGCGTTGCCGTTGCGGAATACACAAATTGGTGGCACTTCCCAATTCCATAGGAAAACTCGAGTAAATACGAATACAAGCTGTGGAACCATACAGAAAATAAAGGCCATCATTATCGCAGCTGACAGTCGAATAACTTTTCTGAACTGTCGGTCTCGATGGTGTTGGTGGCAAGACAGTTGCTGTTTACGTTGCTTGAACTTCTTCTTCAGAGTCAACGCTATGGAGCTATATGCAAGAGCTAAGAGGCAAATGGGTACAATGATAAAAGCGATGAATGTAGCTGTGATATATCTCCTGTTTGTCTCTTCGTGGTCAAATGCCGGTGCCCAAGATGAAATGCAATAACTCTCATTTTGTAAGGTGGTCAGCCGGAAAGTGTAGAAATAAGGCGCATGAACTGCAACGGCAATGATCCATGTGCACAGAATGCTCGTCAAACGCACCTTTGATGAGATGAGTTTTGCACTGAGAGGGAAGACGACAGCGATAAACCTGTCCACTGACATTATCAGGAGGCTTTGGATGGAAACAGCAAGAGAAACATCGGGAAGAAAGTAGCAAAGTTTGCACAAAGTGTTTCCCAGTATCTGCGGACTGTCGACTTTCCAAGAATAAGACCCTGAAATGATCGGCACTATTTTGATGGGCATGATGGTCAACGGAGCGAAAAGGTCGGACATGGCCATGTTGAAAACAATGTAATTAATCGACTTTCTCAACTGCTTGTTCTTGTAAATAACCAAGACGAGAAAGATATTACCAACGAATGAAACAAGAAGAATGGCAAAATAAGCCAGGGCTTTCACTGCTACTTCCGTTGTGGAGTCCGCTTTAGGGCAATCTCGGTCGGTAACGTTTCGAGCATCTTGCTTTGCCAGAGAACTGTTTATGGATGGCCAACTAACGTTGGTGTTCTCAAACATGTTTCTGTTTGATCTTCTGTACACGGTCAAGTATTTTTTTGCAATCGTCTGGGTTGACTGCTGTTAACATACAAAGAATCGCGAGCTCGTTTCTTTAAATTCTGTGCCTGAGAAAGTGGTCACTCATTTATAAAGTCCATTTTAGTGACGCATGTTGAAATAAAGATATGCTGATAGGCGTGTGGGAAAGTGACAGAGTCAATAAATAATGGAATAATTTTCATTGAAAGCCTTTCCAAACAACGTCACTGACAGTTTGTCCCAAACTTGGCATCATACATGAAAATATGATCTTTTATATACATTATTATAAACTGACGTGCAATGCAGGTGTACGTACGTGCTGTTCAGTTCTAGGCGATAATTAACGCCGAGCCTGTGTACATCCATTTAACTGATAGTAAAGACTTTTATTTTCAGAAATAAATCTGTTATTCATGCCCCCTTCAGAATACAAGGAATTTGAAACATATAACTTCTACATTAATATAAGAGCGCCTCGCCAATCTTTGATATTTATTTTTCCAAAGTTTTAATACTAACCTTTACGGAAAACAATAAATGAATATTAACATATTGCAGCTATCTTTTTGACTGGCGGCTCTCATTTTTTAGGGCTAAAGTTTGATTTTCCAGGTGATTAATTATTACGATATTTGGTCAGATACTTTTGTGGTCTATAATGCGTAATACTGAGAGCTTGTACATTTATTCTACTTTTCCACCAAGCTCTCACCTAAACACTGTCCTAGTACTGCAGGAGAACACGATACAGTCCAAGGAATTGTGAATTAACGGTCACATACTTGAAAGTTTCGCAAGTAATATTTCAGTCTAGGCCCATTAAAATGCTGAATTGAAGGATTTCGGAAAGACAAGGAAAAAATATTGCGTGAATAATTGGTCCAAGGAAACACACTTTCGCCTAACTTCCGTCTCTGAATGAAAAGTGTTTGTTCCTGTGCCTGGTTTAATGGATGTATCTGTCACTGAGGTTGTGGCACAGATAATCCTTCCGAATATTTGTTCTTTTTGAATAGTTCAGACGCAAGCTAGAAAAAATGCTTCGATGCTCTGTCAGAACTCGGGATACCTCCAAATCGACCATTTTACAAGTTTTCAGATTTCTTTAATTGCTTATAAAACACAAAAGGCATACGTTTATATATTTTTCAAAAAATGTTCAAGAAAAAAAGCTTACTCCTAGCTAGTGAGATAAATGGATTTCTGAAATAAATTATTTTTAATTAATCGAGAGATTTCGACATTCTGTGAGCATCAATTCATTAATCCTGAAAAACGCTTATAATTCGAAACATGTATCTAGCCTTGTTATTCAAAACTTACTTTCATTTAAATTTCAAAGGTATAAAACAAAAGCGCTTAGGGTTTCCTCAGTTTCTAGTCATAATCTATGTTCTAAATTGCTAAGTTTTCAAATAATATTTACTTAGCTAGATATTTGTTAAAATATCTACGGAAGTCGGAGCACCTAGGGACAAAACAGTCCCCACCTCTTTGGAGGTGCCTGATCGTGGTGTGGTGGTGTACTTAGGTCGAAAGTTGGGTGGAAACACTCCAGTGACTCCTGAGACTAATAGATGCACGTGAAGCTACCCAGGTTAACGACCCGCCGAGTGGATAAAAGGGGTTGCACAAACTAACATTACAGCTACACCTTCTCCTGATTGTCCCACAGGATTGGAAGGGCAAGTAACGTTTACCCATCACAATAACGACACAGAGGGGACGGGGCGGGCGGGGTNCCTTCAATAAAATGCGAATGTGGGCTCAGACAATAGTAATCAAGGAAATGAGGAGGCTGGAACTTGCTATCCTGGGCGTTAGCGAAATAAGATGGACAGGGGCCAACCAATGAGGCTGAGGAGGAAGTGAAGTAAGACTTTTACCACCAGTCTCGAACTGCCTTCAATAAAATGCGAATGTGGGCTCAGACAATAGTAATCAAGGAAATGAGGAGGCTGGAACTTGCTATCTGGGCGTTAGCGAAATAAGATGGACAGGGGCCCGGAGGGTCGACTTGACAACTGAAGATAGGTATTCTATTCTGGCCTGGCAGGTAATGATGCGCCACATGAAAAAAGTGTGCATTAATTTTGTCAAAGGAGGCCGGACAGAGATTGAAGGAGTGGGAACCGATCTCTGAGTGGATTATCTCTGCTAGGTTTGAGTCTAAGTGCCAGAACACCTCAATCATCCAAGTCTAGGCACCAACCAATGAGGCTGAGGAGGAAGTGAAGTAAGACTTTTACCACCAGCCTCGAACTGCCTTCAATAAAATGCGAATGTGGGCTCAGACAATAGTAATCGATAAGCGTCTCTGGCGAGTCATTGTGAAGGAGTGATCAGTTAGGATAGCCAAATGTTCTGTGACTTCTGTGCATTGAGGGAACACTCCTCCCACACAAGAAATTAACAAGCTTACATGGAGATCCCCTGTTGGGACCTCTGAGAACCAGTTTGACCATGTGGCTATAAGCAGAACATGGAAGATCTGGCTACAGGACACAAGGGTGAAATGCAGTGTGGGTGTAGAATCGGATCACCATCTTGTTGGGGCTGATGAAGCTTTTGGCCTTGAAGAAGACCAGGTCAACACGACGAAAATACTGCACGTACAGACTCAGAGGCCAAAGTGCGAGGGAGGAGTTCGTAATTGCACTAGCCAATAGGTATGATGCCCTCCACAATGGATCGGATGATGAAGAAGAAGAAGAAGAAGAAGAAGAAGAAGAAGAAGAAGAAGTAGTAGAGCAACAGCCTTCACTTGGCAGCCTTATCAACACCACTGGCGGCACTGAGGAAGATGTTGAGGCCAGGTGCAGGAAGGCACCAACTGCTCTCTCCATTTTAAGACCGATATGGAGATCAAAGTTCATTTTTCTGTGGAGGAAGATAAAGATCTTCAATTCCAACGCAAAATCGGTTCTGCTTTATCATGGATCTGAGACCTGGAAATTAACAAAGAAGATTGTCAGCCAACTTCAGACCTTCATCAACGGTAGGCTCCGTCGCATCGTAGGGGTGTGGTGGCCAGGGAAGTTCTCGAAGGAGGAGTTGTGGCAGCGCAGAGAGGATTGAAGTTACCATGCGGAGGCGGAAATAGAGATGGGTGGGTCACGCTCTGAGAAAACCTGTCACGAACATCACTCGCCTGTCCAGGCAGACCAAAAGAAGTTGTGGACGGAGTCCATACAGCTGGAGCATGAGGACTTGGGGATGTCATGCAATCAAGAGAAACGGACTGCACAAAACCGATCCGATGGAAAGCTACAGTGGGGGTCCTATGCTCCGGTGGGAGCGAAGAAGACTAAGTCAAGTAATTACGTCTTACCGCAAAGCAGCTAAAAGCTTGGCGAGAAGGAAAGAAGACTTGGGATAGCTATAACGATAAAACTAACAGGCCGCTTAGGATGTAAACCCCCGAGTTATTTAATGTATATGTGTTATTTCCATCACATGCCTCTTCATGCTAAAACTGGTTGGTAAGAGTTGAAAATCTCAACTATGACCACTTCAAAACGAATGGACAACGTTAATTTAACTTTCGATTATCTTATTTTATTTTAAGTCTTTATGGTTGGTTTGTACCTAAACCTTATTCATAGACAGTTAATGGGAAAGGTAGTGAATAACAGCATGCTATTCGAGGTTTCCTGAGCACGGAAATAAATGAATATAGTAAAATATTTAGTTGTTTGTTTAGATATGGCCCTTTCTAAAGAAAACGTTTATGTCAAAAACGAGATGGAAATATATAAAAGAGTGTAGTTTTCTAATCAATTGTTCAACTCCGTCTTGTCCTAAAAGACTTGGTTCGGTAAAAAGACACTACTGATATAGTTGTTAAGCATATTTTTCGAAAGGCAATCACTAAGACATTGACAGAATTTTCCTGAGACTATTGCGATAGATCTTCATACATATCAGACTGATGCAAGGATTTACGGCACTCCACGAATGCATCATAAACATTGCTATAAATGGTATTACCGTGCGAAGTGTGCAAATCGGTGGTTCTCCCCAATTCCACAGAAAAATTCGAGCAAACAATAGACAAAGCTGTGGAATCATACAAACAACAAAACAAAGTATTAAAGTCATAGACATTCGTACGATTTTTCTCAGCTGTTGTTCTCTATAGCGTTGGCGATAAGAAAGCTGTTGCTTAGTTTGCTTGTTTTTCTTTTTTAAAACCCATGCAATAGTACTATAAACGATGGCAAAGACACAGATGGGCACCAGGATAAAAGTAATGAAAGTTGCCGTCACAAATCTTTTGTTTGTTTCCACATGATCAGGGCCCCAAGATGATTTACAATATGCTTTCTTGTCGTATGGGCGCATTCTCAGTCTAAAAGTGTACAAATAAGGTGCATGGACTGCAATTGCGACGATCCATGTAAACAGAATGCTGATTACGCGCGCTTTTAATGACTCGGGTTTGGTAAACAGTGGAAAGATGGTAGCGACGAACCTGTCCATTGATATCAGCAGGAGACTTTCGATGGAAACAACAAGAGAAACATCGGGAAGGAAGTAAGAAAGTTTGCACAAAATGTTTCCCAGCATCCACGGACGGTCTACCTTCCAAGAATCAGAACCTGAAATGATGTGAACGATTTGAATAGGCATGATGGTCAATGGGTTGAACAGGTCGGAGACGGCCATGTTGAAGACAAAGAAGCTGATCGACTTTCTTAACTGCTTGTTCTTATAAGTAATAAATAAAACCAGAAGATTTCCAACTAAAGAAACGATAAGGATGATGAAATAGGCCACTGCTTTGCAAACCACTTCAACAATTTTTGACTCGCTCCCATGACAGTTTTTATCGAAGTAGTTGTCAACGTATTCCGTTGTGTTAAAATTATTTGTGAAGGGCAACGCAACACTGGAATTTTTATACATTTTTATCTATATCGATGTCAATGAAAGAACTTCTTGTTTGGTTTGCGTTGGTAACTTTATCAAGACTGAACGAAAAGTAGATGATCGGCGTCGGCAGTAGATAAATATTACACATACGACACTGCATCACCTGCTTTTGACGTTTTCAGAAATGCAATGCTTTCAATGAAAAATTAATCAACATTTAACAAGCAAGGGGACATGAGAGCTTTTTCAAAAAGACAACATGTTTACTTCTTTTCAAATCATCCTGACGTCCCTTCCAGTTGGTGTGCGTTTCCTTTAGTTATTGCCGGATTGATATACGCATATTTTTCACCTTTTTAGTTTCCGTTTTATTGTTCTTGTTCGGATTCTGTATTAATTATTTTCTTCTCAGATTTTTAATTAGCGTATGTTAATTAGAAATTCATCATGCGAAAAGCTGTTAAACTCTTGTCTTCAATGAGATGGGAATTTACCACTTCGCAAAACCATTGTCCAAGTAAAACAAAGTTATAAACTTA